TTGCTTGGAACTGATCAGACGAAGATCGATAGTGACAACCATGACTACTTCAGGTGGCCTAAGGTTTTGGTAAATTTAATTGAGTAGAAACGAAGAGCGAGGGATGGAGTAATCAGTCAAATTTCAAGCTGTTTGAGACTGGTGTTTGAACTCATAACTTTTAGGTTTAGATCTAAACTTTTCTGAGTTGATTTTGAAAAGTACAATAGGATAGATGTGAGTAGGAAATTGAGTGAGAGGTGGTTGAAGGCAATTTTTATGACAAGTTCTCTGTATTTTTTTTTTTTTTTTTGGATTAGTTTTTGTATAAATTGGAATATTACATTACCACTGTTACTTTCATTGTGTTTAATTTCCTGTATAATCTATCTATGATTAAAATGTGATACTATATGCTCAAAATTAATGGATGTGATGTCTTGTACATTTCCATCATAGACATAATGAATTAAGGATATGAAGAGGGAGAGTTGAGCATAGAGTTACAATCTTGAGCAGCAGTTTAATTTCTTTTACATGTTCTTTTTGTAGGAAAACAAATTAATTAGAAGAAAATCTATATTTTTTTATTGAATTTGAGCAGCTTCAAATTCAAAGTTTCTTTACACTTATAATACTGGTGTACCGGCATACTGTTTCAGTCTGCAGGGCACGTCGAGCATCATTTGCTCCAACCATTTTCTAAATTCAATAATTTATAATATATAGATGAGGTTGTGAGAATGTAATCGAAAGCATTTGACCTCATTTTCTTATATCATAATTGGTTTAACTTCGAATGTGTAGGTATCCAAAAACTTCTAGATAGAAAATTGAGATTAGTTAATTAGTTCATTCCCATTGATTTCTCCAACTTCTGTGGAAATCTTCATTTTCCTTTTCCATTTTAGGGTTATTATTTCCTTGCGCCTAACCAAAATTTGTAATCTTTTGAAAAGTTTTCACTGATGGGAGCAGATATTGAAATCTGTCAAAAGGTGGTCAATTCTTGGTAGCAGCTGCATTTTGGGTTGAACTGGTGACCACTATTGTGAGATTTAAAGTTCATATCATGAACATGGCGGTTAGAATGGTTCAGTGGGGCTCAATTTATCATTAGGTATGGTGCATAACTGCATATGCTATGTTTCTTCTAGGCACCAAAATAAATAAACTATTACAGATGCATGCATATTTTGTTCAGATTCTTACAATAATTTTGATCTGATCTCTTTGGATACCTACTTTATTGAAGTTGAACTTTCCTGGCATCATGTGATGTCCTGAGCCTACTTACAACCATTATTGACCGTTTTGACTCATACTGATCTCATCTTGCAATTTGAATAGCAGTAGCTCACATGATTTTTGGACATTTCCCAGTAAATTCTTATGAAGCTTGAGACTAGTAGAATACTTTCAAAATTGTATTTCCTGATTGAAATCCATAGAAGAACAGGAGCTATCAAGGTAAACTTTTGCAGTGATGCAATCTCTTCCTGATAGCTGTTGGCATTTGGTTATTTTGTCACGTGTAGGTGGAGGCTAGAGAGGGTAGCTAGTGAAAGTTGGAGTTCCCTGATCTCTCTACCAGGTGATGAAGTGCTACAAAAACTTTCTTCTCTGGTCTGTAGGGGGGGAGGGGGGCCAGCTCCGATCCCTACTGAAAATTTGTGCACGTCTTCATCCACTGTATCTTGGTTTTGTCACTAATTTCCACCATGAAATTTCAGCTGCTTTTAAGCCTTTGACTTCAATAGACAGCTCATAGGGCTTTCTGTGAATGGGTAGGGACAGGGAAACAGAGTAAAGATCAATGTGTTAAATGTGCTTAAACTTGATGACTTGAGCTTGAGCATGCTCAATATAAAGAGGAAAGCTTTTAATTTCCTGCTCAGCATCACCACTTTATCTAACAAGAATTATTGAACGTCGACTGTAAAGTAGGACTTTGACCCATTGGCTGGAAATTCTTGTTCAAGGTTTGTGGGAGACTTATCCCCTCTTCCTGTTCCTACTAAAAAAAATCTTCATCAATTGGATGATTTGATATTTAATTTTGTTTATTCAAATGGAGTTATACTCACTTTTTCTTTTATTTTTTTTTATTTTCTTGGCTGGGGTCATTTCATGGCATAGAGAAGGATAGGAAGCCCCATCAGGAAAAAATAGATAGAGGGAAAGAAGCCCAGGCCAGGCCAACACCAACAGAAATAGTGGTTATGGCTTAAACAATCGAGAGAATGTGGCTCCAAACCATGTCATAAATATAAGCTTAGCTTGTCGTCCATGTCACAGACAACAGCCATGTCTGTCGTGTGAACTTCAGGTGTATGACTGAGAATCTGTAAATGCATGGAATCTAAGTAGAATATGTTTTTACCAGCATTGTAAATAGAGTGAATCAAATAATAAAATTGTCTCACTTTATCTTATATTTCGAAAATTCAGAATAAAGATAAATTATTATGTGAACTAATAAAAAGCAAAATTTAAATAATGCAATTAAACTTCTAAAGATGCAAAAACAATAAATTAAGATGAAATTAATGCAAATAACAAGTAACTTATGAATTAAGCTTAAATTAATCTAACCAAAACTTAAATTATGCAAGAACCTGAAATTAAACCCTAAGTATACAAATTACTTAAGTTGAATGCAAGCAACAATGATAATAAAAACCTAATGATGCAAAAGTAAACTAAACATACAACCATGCAAAAATACTCTAACAGCAACCTAAATATAAATTTTATATGCTTTGAATTGAATTAAAATTGAAAGTAATCTAAACAACCTAAGTAGCATGTAATTTAACAAATTAATTTAATTAAACTTAAGAACATATAGTCGGCTCAAATTAATCTCAACTAACTTAGATAATTATAAATTAAATCAATGCCAAAGCATTAACATATGTAAACCAAACTAAAATTGATTAATTAAAACATGCAAACATCAAATTAAAGAAAAATAATAGTAAATCACATAAACTTAAATTGATTTGCATTGAAAAAGCAAGAACAAAAAGTTAAGCTAGAAAATAGAACTTGATTTGTCTTGAAAACTGAAAAAAAAAAAAAAACTTGAACAATCTTAAATTGCAGTAAAGAAAAGCTTTAGAACAATAAAAACTTAAGAGAAAAAAAAAAGTTATTAAACTAAATATTAGTTTGTCACCACAATCATAATTTTTCCTAATTTCTAAACTAGCTATTTATAGAATAAGAATACAAAGAATCCTAAAGTCAGAAGGATGGTAGATAGTGGCTAAGGCTTTTTTCAAGAGAAAAGAATTTTTTGTAATTACTTTAAAACCCTTGAAAGTCTTCTAGAACAAGAACTCCAAGTTGAAGTAGACTTTAGCACTTCTTGAACTTTTTTGAATTGGGTTTAAATTTAAATCAATTGGTCTCAAATTAGTTTCTTAGCTATTGGACTTATGCTTTTAGTTGAAGAGTTCTTGAAAAAATTTAACAAAAAAAAAAGAAGTAGAATTCTAAATTGTGTCCTCCCATGTGTTGTCTTCTTTTTATAATGCTCTTCTATTTTCATGCAAATTCTATGATTGATAGGAATATCCATTTAAACTAAGATTTCCTAGCCAAAGTAAGAAAAAATCAAAGTATATTGCGAAGTTTTCTAACAAAGTAGGAATTCAAGATTAAAGTATAATTTCAATTCAAAGTGAAAAAACTTTCTTAATTAGAGATACTAAAGTGATTTGACTTTTTAAATATTACACAAATTTCCAAATCAGTTTTGCAATAATTTAAAGTCATCTTTCTGTCAATGAAAAATAATTACTACCATGTCATCCATTAGAATCTTATCTTGACTATAACGTAATATTTAGATGCATTTACCTGAAATTATCTTTAGTCACTAATATATTAGCCAAACTATCCTTTACACAATTTGATATGAGATATTTTAAATTAGCATTAAAATTGATCAATTCTTCATCTTTAGTTCCCAACATTAGTCTTAATTTATCCTCCAATTAAATTTTTAATTTTCAAGAATCCACAAGACTTTTGCCAAGAACCATCTAAAATTATTCCAAATATACCAAAAATCATTCAAGATTGGTCAAGAACTTTCAAGATTCATCAAGATTCAATTTTTTTTTTTAAATTTCCTATAAAACAACTAATTAAGTACATTAAGAGTATAAAAGCTTATTTTACCAAGAACTAAATAAAATTAATTTATTTAAGTACCGAAAATAACTCTATTTTATAGTTATCAGCGTACTGGCGACCCTCTTCGTACCATACACTACTGCGATGCCTTTTCCTATATATATGTGCGTGTGCATTGAATTGAATAAGCTTTTATTTATCTTTCATTTTCATTTTGTATGAATAAGCTTCCTTGATTTATTAATTTTTTGAATCAAGCTTTTATGACTTCCAAATTTTTTCCATCAATGAACTTGAACAGGCTACTCCAAGTTCAAGGACCGGGAAACGAAAAGAGTTTTATCGTCGTTGCTGCGTGATTTGGACACAATGCAAGTCTAGAAATTAGAAACTCTCTCTATTTTTGTGGTCTTCCACGACCTTCAGAGTATAGTCCACTCGTGCCAAATAACCTTTGATCAAGACAGCTGTGCTTTGCCAGCCAATTTCATTTTTAATTCCCTTCTTTCCCTACCTAGAGATATAAATTACTACCGCTTTTCATAGACACTGAAAGAAAATAAGAAAAAGAAATGGAAAAGAAAAGAAAAGAAACAAGTGTAAGTGGATAAGAAATTGGAACAAGAAATGGCCCTAGCTTGCTTAAGTTACAGATGTCACAGAGATGGAAGTAAGGGAGTTTTGTATGGTTTCTGAACATATTCCACATACAACGATTGAGATCGTATTGCATGGCAGTGAGGTGGGGTTCAAAGTGCAGTTACCGGTGAAAAGAGAGACGTAAAAAAAACATCCTTTCTTTAACCTCATTTGCTTTCCCTTATTTGGGCCCAGGTGGAGCCTAATTTCTAAACCATTCCATTTCCTTCCTATAATAGCACTCCCTACCCTTTGCTGCTCTTTTCATGCAAGCCAAAAAAAAAAGGTCAATCATTACTCATTCAAACTCCAATAATGATCCATCCATCCAGCCAGTAGAGAGAACTACTGAGAGCAAAAAGGTTCACCGAAGTGCTCTTCAAGCCAACCAATAAGAATTTAGAAGAAAGAATTAACCAAAAAAAAAAATTGAAAAGAAAGCAAATAAATCCTATAATTTGATAAGAAGAGATGAAGATGAAAGGTGCAACAATTGGAGGGTCTAAGAGAAGGTGTTCATGGCCATGCAAGGGAAATGGAGCTGGGTTCCTTCGGGAAGAAAGAGGTAGGCTTTACATAATAAGAAGATGTATTGTTATGCTTCTCTGCTGGCAGGACTAAAAAAATAAATAGATATGTATGGAGAAATCTGAATAAAAATCTCTACAGATCCTGCTGCTACTTGGAATTTAGCTACTAGTTTTAGATTTTCTTTTATCATGTGTATATCAAATATATGGATAATCTTTTCTTTCCCTTCCTTATGCTCCTTGGCTTCTCCTGCTCCTTGGTATAACAAGTTTCTCTTTGAAATTATGGTGAAAATTTTATTTTGTTATATTTTTAAAACTTGATTCGGTGCTGAATCTCTAAGTTTTATCTTTGATCCCAAGCTTATAGTTGTGCTTTTCTTTACTTGATTTTATGGTTAGGACATGTTATATTCCATTCATCTTCTTATAATAGTCACAAAGATTTGCATCTTAGCTTCTCGGTTGCCCCTGGAAGAAGGAAACTCAAATTCCTCTTAGCTTCATAGTTTATTCTTGCATGATTGCTTATACTTCAGTTTTCTCCACTAGTGCACTGGCACTGATCAAACCCATAACTTAATTCGGTGTATGCTGTGATCCTTAAAAGTTGATATCTCTCATATTTGAAGTTCAAATCCCATCAGTTAATAACTTTTTTCACTATCCCTAATCAGCGGTTGCTTTTGTGTGTGTGTATATATATATAAACTTAACTGATCAGTTTTTGGTTTTGGTTAATTCTTTTTCTGAAACGGGTTTCAACTTTCATGCTTAAGTGAAGGAAGCAAAATCTAATACTAATGTCTGATAGCTAGATAGTAAAGAACATCCCTAGCTACTTTTGTATACGAAGAAAAATCAAAATAGATATTCTTAGGCTCCTCATTGATGATTGAGGATTGATGGAAACCCAAAAAAAATGGTTCTCCAGAAATTGGCTGAAAGTATTAAGCACCTGATTTAAGTGAGAGAGAGAGAGAGAGAGAAAGAGATCAAGGATGTATATAAAAAGTATACAATTAATCAAAAGTAAAGTGGGATTATTTAAACGGTGTAATCATTAAGGATATGGATTACACTTTTAATCCGCACTCGTGCTATCAGAAAGATTCTAACAAACTAGATTTTTTTTTACTACATATATCTATGCATGTGAGAGCATATTATTTTTTTTTCTTTGGGTTTGGACTCTTCACTATTAGTACTTTGTATTTTTTTCCTTTTGTTTTTATGCACCTATTAACATTGATTTAATATTTTCTTATAATCATGACAAAACAACCGAATAGAACCTACAGTTTTTTTTTTTTAATAATAAAATTTAGAATTTAATTCATTGATTTATTTAATTATTTTTAAATATCTATAATATTTTCTCTTACCTTCAATTACCTATAACCTTTTTCTTATAAAAAAAAATCAAAAACAAAAATACTTGAATCAATCGAGAATTTATAATCAAATCCAAATAACATTCTCTTACAACAATTACTTCAGAAAACATTGTACTTGTGATTAATTAGAGTTGTAAATAGGTTGAACCAAACTAGATTCCGTCGACGTCTTAAATACTTTATTCAAAACTTGATCCAATTAGGTCCATGATTTATACTCAATGGGGCAAAATTATTAAGTAATATTTGTTTACATAATTTTTTTTTAAATTTATTATAACAAAATAAATTTTATTAAAATGTATAATGTCAAATAATACTTCTATAAATATAAAAATAATAAAATATTTGTATAAAAATAAAAATATAAAAATTCATTTTTATATAAAAACAAGACATTAAAATTCATGCTTGTTTGTCTTAATTTTGTCGTGTTTAGCAAGAGTATTGACACTTATATAGGTTACGATTAAATAAACAAATTAAAATTTAAATACATACACAAATATATATTAATTAAACAGGTTACATAACACTGCACGACTAACAAATTTATCAAATAAGTCAGATTAAACAATGTGGCATGATGGGTTTTGTGACCAGTCTAAACTCATTTAATTGAGAAGTAAAGTGAAGAGATCAATTTTATATTTACATTTTTAACCATTAACTTACTCAATTACTCTTTTTATTTTGTCAATGCATTCATATATATTTCATAATTATAAACTATTTATACTTAAATGTTTCTTTTACATTAATGAGGGAAAAAGCAAAAATATTAAAAATTTTAGATTTGTTTTTAATAATTTTATTTATTTTTTAAGGATTAACGAGGCAAGACAGAATAAATATTTAAATTTGAGGTCTTTACTAATAAAAGAATTCAATTTTCAAGATTTTAGTGGGACCTCTGGATCCAATCCACTCGTGAAAGCTTATCTGAGTTCATTTACTTTAAATTTTTTAATGAAATATTTTAATTGAATTAAAAAAATATAATAGTAAAACTGTATATGATCTAGATCAAAGATGACCGATGAAATAAATGGTAAATTTGGCTCCTATTCTATTATAATTTACCAAATTAATTTATATGTAAATTAAAGTTGTCCCTTAAAGTTTATTATTTGCTATTTGCTATTTTCTTTAAGAAAAAAAAAGTTCGAAACCATCAAAGCGGAATGAAACAATATGCTTGCCGTGCTTTCTCTAGATCTATCAGACTGGTAAGTTCATGTCATTTTAGAACTTGAGGTTTAGTGTAAATGATTCATCCATCTTTTTTAAGAAATGGATTTCAATAAGATTAAGATTCGATTATCAGCATTTGTAAATTCCTTTTCTCTAATTTTTTTTTTTAGATTTTGATCTCTTTCTAAAACAAAAAAGTACGGCCATCTTATGTATTAATTTTATTAATGAGAAAATTTATCCGCTGCTAGATTGAGTAAAGAGGTTTGAGGATAAAATTGCTACTTTTGAAACTATGGGAGTGAAACGAAATTTTCAGCAAACTTTTAAAGACAAGAGGTTCAGTTTATACAATTGATAATTTGCCAATATCCAAAAACAAAAATAGTCTCAAATTCGAATGGAAGGTCAATGTTAGACAATATTTTGAGCATTTGGTTCATCATTCATGTAAGTGAATGCATTTTCTTACTCAAAACGTCAAGTTTGGCAAGTCTTTTGTTTTTCTATAAAAAGAAATCTTGTCTTCCACTTTTGGAAGTTTTCAGTTTGGTTTGAGTTCATGTACATGTTGTGAAGCCAAACTCTTGTTTGAACCACAAAAAAGATTTCAATAAAAAACAGTAAAAGAACACATGTACAAAATTGAAAGAATCAAGCCAAAAAAAATTATTGAAATGTTTAAAAACGAGAAGCAAAGTTAAATTAAACTGAAATTTTGAAATTCCTTTCTTTGGAAAAAAAAAAAAAACTGAAATTTTTAAAAAAGAAATAATTAGGTGGGATATTTGTTTATGAATTCAAATATAGGATCAGTTAAAATGTGATGTTCATGTCAACAGTATGTGATTTATTGATAAACTTTTGTATTTTTAATTTTAATAATTATGATTCAATTTTTAATAATTTTAAATAAAAAAAAAAACGTAGCATGGACATGTATATCTATGAATATTGTAACTCAATCATATTTACTGTGACTTAGTTGATGTGTGTGACTGAAAAAAAATAATTAAAGTTAAAATTAATGCAAAACTCAATTAAGATTGACATTATTTGAAAATAAATTATTTCACAAAGTAAAATTCTAAACACCTAGTTAATTGATATCATCTTACATTTAAAAAAAAAAAACCATCTAGTTAGTACTATTATATATTATAAATTTATATTCGTTTATACCAAATAAACCATAACTTATATCTATCTAAAAGTTAATGATTGGTTTAAGAAAAAAAAAACCAAAAGATTAAAAAAAATTAGGGCGACTAAGTTCTATCAATTCTTCGAACCATTGGTGATGAAATTAGAATTACCGTACATTTTCACAGGTTAGCTCAAGTCTAAGCAAAGGCGGACTTTTGTATGGATATTCTAAAATATTAAAAAATTAAAAAAAATTTGAATATTATTTTTAATAAAATTAATAAGTTCATTAACAATTAATTATATATATTACAAGTAAAAACTCGAAATAAATCCTAAATTCACCACTAAATCTAAAACTTATTGAAATGCCAAGACAAAATTGGATCATTAGGAATTCAAGTACAGGGACAGATGTGGTAATGATAAATAACAATGATGTTAAATGAGCTAGAGGTTCACGAGTCATTAGTGAAAGGAACTTTTTATATAATGGTGGATGCAATTTAAAAATAAAAAAGATTATAAATATTAATATTTAAATTATAAATTTATTAAATATTATATTTTTAAGAATAATTGCATAGATGAATTAAACTAAATCTTGAATTTAAAGTAAGAGAGATTTTGTGTTCTTGCAAAAACATGATATGTTGTTTCGTGCAATTGGGAAATGAAGGAAGCTGAAACCGGAGACCAAAACCTTGGACGTGTCTAGTCATGGCCTTTTTCTAGTTGAAGTCCCACGGCGAAAATTAGCTGCAATGTCAATTACATGTCACATTGAGCAAATACATTTGAGCACGTCACGTGTAAGTTTGATACTACATTTGACATGAAGCAATCTTTAATTCACATGTCATCGTTGTCATACAACAACAACAAATCAAAAGTGACAGAACAGGAAACGCGTGAAGAAAATGTGATACAGGATTTGCCATCGAGGAAGGAAAGTGTAGAAAAACAGGTACAACAACCAACGTGGAAATTTTTTTTTAATCCTTAACCCCACAAAATTTTGTATGATTCCCATGTCCCACTTCCCTTGCTGCCGCCCCCCCCCCCCCCCCCCCACCTCATAATTCATAATTGAGCCTCCATCATTGCCTTGCCTAATCATGGTCATGTTGATAAGCAAAGCACCACCTTATTTTCCTAATTTAAAAATACTTTTCTAACCTTTTTATTTTTTTAAGCCTATCGTTTGGATATTCATCTTTTCAATTTTACGAAGCGACAATATTTTTATATTTATATACATAAAGTTTTTATTATGTCTCTATATTTTTAAATATTTAAAATTTATTAAAAATATAAAAATTTATCATTTTCATGTAATAGATCACATTAATTTTTAAAATTTGAATGAATTTTATTAGTACTTAACAGACATATAAAAATAATTTATTTTTACACATAAACTTTTATAATTAAAGGTTACTAATTTAAAGTTGGGTTCTCATTATTAGTGTCTAATAGTAATAATTTAAATCCATTCTACTTATAATACTATTAATCAAATATATTGAAATTTAATTTTCTTTTATGGTAATTAACTCTACTTGATATTAAATCTCTAATATAATCACTTGAAGCTAATATGTCTAAACTTTTTATTTTGCATATCATTTATATGCTTTAGATATTGTTGTCTCATTCTTATCATTTTAAAAAATAGTTGGTTTTAGTTGTGACCACAACTCTATACTTATAAATTTCAATCATTCTATTT